GTGCTTGTCGGTTGGATGCAATCCCTACCGTACCTCATTACCAAGCGCGTGCTGCCGATATTCTGCGTCGACCTCAACTCAGGCATCGGCTGCCAGCAGCTCGACGGCGACACTTCCTGGCGTGCCACGGACGCGGAGGTTCACGTGAGGGCCTCCCAGGACCAGCAGCGCTACGCGGCGCACTGCATCGTGCCCTCCATGGAGGAGCTTGGCATGGTGGCGGTCAACATTTATATCGGCCACGGCCCTACTTTCTTCTGCGCAAAGGGCGCCACGCATATCGATTTTGCGATCATGCCGAAGACGTTGCTTGGTGATGTTGCTGCAGCTGGGCCCTTGAGGCAGTTGGGCCGCCAGCTACAGGTCATCGCGACGTTACAGACTCGAGACCATGTGCCCGTGCGCGTTTGCTTTGACTATTCTATCTCGTACACTACCGACGCCCACCTCCAATGCGATATGACGGCCCAACCGCGATTGGGCTACGCACCGCGGCGTAGTCATTGGAACAAAGAGGCCCTCATGCAATCATTGCGCAGTGGATTGGGGCGGGCGGACTTTCTCTTGGAATTGGAACATTATACGAGTGATCACACAGCCGAATGGGAGCGGATACAGGCTGGCGAACAGACTCCCAAGGCAGAGTGGGGTTTCTTCATGAATTCGTTGTTAACCATAGGCGGCCGACATTTTGCGAGACCGCCAGGCTATAGACCTGGATACCGCACACTGGCGGAGACAACCAAACCAGTGCTGGACTACCAACGGGCGCTTCGACTGCGATTGGCCGCCTTCCCCACGGACGGCGACGATGACTCTCTCCCGACACAGGTCTACGCAGAGCTGATGGCAGTGTAATGGTAACTATGCTGTCGCACCAAGTGGGTTTGTTCAGCTAGACGACAGTGCTGGAAGCAATGGCGCGCCGACGCGGTTGATGAGCTCAACGGGGCCCGTCGCCAAGGGCGCCGTGCCGAGGTGGCGCGGATTTCGCGCTTGCTGGCCCGCACTGGAGCGGGCCTTAGGGAGCGCGTCTACAGAAGCGCACCCGTGGCGCTCCCTGCTGGAGGAGAGCTCGCCGAGCGCTGGGCTCTACCTGCTGAACAGGGGGGCATAGCAGCCGCCGTCAACGACTGGGTCGCAGAGGCCGATCGCTACACATATGACGACATCACAGGGCACGAGGCGCAGCAGTTTCTCGCGCCGTGGACAGAGGAGGGGCTCGTTTGGGCAACGCATCGCTTGCAAGAGTTGCGCAGATGGATCTGTTGAGCACCTAAGCGACGTGCGTGCCCTCTGTGGTCGGCGCCCTTGGAGCTGTGGTGGATGGTGCTGCATCCCTATCGCATAGTCTCACGACGGTATCATGGCGTTGGCTACGCGACCCCCGAGATATAGCAGGAGTTCACCCGCGGGGTCCTTGTGATTTCCATGCGCCGGCTGAGGCGATCTGGACAGGTCCCGCTAGTCTGGCACCTGAGCGAGGGAATGGCGCTCTCCTGGAAGCGAGCCATCCACCTCCTGGACCTGCTCGGCAAGGCACTCATGGCCGTGGCGATCAACCCCACCGAGCTTTGGGCCGAGCCGCTTTGCTCGCGGATGCATTCCCGGTCGGCGCCGAGAGACGGCACTTCTCGGCCGGCAGCTTTGCGCGCGGAGGCTTCGACAGTTGGGTGTCAACCACGTGGCGGATTTGAAAGATATCATTAACGCTTTCGCCCCGACTGATGGGAACAGTGTAGCAACGGCGAACGAGAGCATCATGAAGACGGACCATGTGATGCATAGGAGACAAAGGTTTCGTTTTGCTGCAGTTATGATTGGAGGTGTCTGCGTTCGCCCCAGCGTCGGCGCGCTCGTCTGCGACCCCTGGGCGGTGGAGGTCCTCGTCAGGGACGTCAGCGCGGTTTTCGAGACGTTTCGAGACCAGTTCGCCAAGTTCGGACCCGAGTCGGCCATTTGGTGCGATATCACTTTGCGCTACGACGGGGAGGAGATTGCTTTCGATCAGGCGTTTAACTCATGCGTAGACGACGCCGTCCGGAAGATTATTGTGGCGGGCCAGACATCGATTCTGGAGCTATCGCGGTGTCGAGGGCATGCGACCTCCTGCTATCGGCTGAGCTGAAGCACCACGGCTGCGCCCAGAACTTGGCCGAGAACATCAGCCCCCTGTCCTTTGTGGCCGACGGACTTCATGCGCGTCGGAAAGAGGTGATCGAAGCTCTCTCTGGGGCCCCAGCAGACGCCACTCGCCACCTCGGGGGCCAGGTCATGGGCAGCTGTTCCTTCCGGGCCGAGCTGGCCTCCAGATTGGCCTCGATCTCCTCGGGCTTCTTTTCCATGGGTAAGCATTCGTACTCGAATCGCATCGCCTACGCTGAGGGGCGTGCTGTTTTCTTGCTCGGGTCACGGGCCCCGCTCGCTCGGCGTGCGAGGCGTTTCTCCCGACCTTGAGCCAGCTCCACACGCTCGCGCCCAGGGTTGTTTTCTTCGGGCGCGTGGCTATGAGGGGGGTGGCCGCGTCTTGGGAGGGGGGCCATGCTCGCTCCATCTCTTCGGAAGCCGTCCTGAGGTACTGGAAGGTCCCCCCGCTGCAGGTTGGGTTCCGAGTGCGACGCTTGCGGTGGCGCCAGAAGTAGGCCGCCAACCCCGAGAGGCACGTGGGCGAGTGGGCCCCCCCCTTCGGGGATATGAAAGCCGAGAGATTGCGAGGGCCCCGTGCCGTGACCTCCGAGGGCGTCCTCGCGCCGGCGGCGAACCTTTGGGCTATTCAGTGCGTCAGGGATTCCGAGGCTCTTCGGAGGACGTCTTCGGACATCGCGGAGGACATGAGCTCCTGGTCTGGAGCCCCACTGGAGTTTCTCGAGGAGGGGGATATGAGGGACTGGCTCCTGGAGTTGGACCCCTCGGTTGTCCGGGCGGCTTGGCATTCGGTTTGAATTCCTCCTCTAGGTGTGTCCCAGCAGGCCCCGCCCGCTCTGCCCGAGGCGCCCGCGGGACACGCTGAAGGCTATGTTTGCACGAGTCGCGACTGCGCGAAATGGTTCTTGTCGCAAAGGCAGTGGCTGATGCATGTTCGTGCGCTCGCGGCCTCAAGACTCTCCTTGCAGCGGCTGCTCAGGGGGCTTCGTGCTTCGTCTGCTGCAGCAGGTTTCAGGGCCGCAGCTCTGCTGGCAACCGCGTTGTGGAATCGTTCGCTCGGGGCTTTTGCGCGCGGCAGCTCAGCGCGACCCTCGATCTCGACGCCCCCGAAGGCCCCTTCGACTGTCGCTTGTGTGAGACTCGACTGCGCCCCCAGATTCGTGCGCGCGTCCATTTCGAAGACCTGCCCCTCGCGCTGGGCGGCAGCGATGGATGGGGCCCACTTGGGCGGTCGGCAAGCGCGAGGTGACGGGGGGCAGCGACGACGCGAATGGCGTCAATCAGGCTCGTCTGCTGCAGGCCCTTGGCCAGGGGGCCAAGGGCGACCGGGAGGTCGGCAGGGGCGGCGCGTTGGCGGCCTTGCTGGCGGTGCTCGCCAGACTCGCATTCACCAGCGCGCACAAGCTGGCCGAGGTGACTGGCGCTTCCCGCACGTGCCACACGGTGGGCGCCGAGGTGCCGTTCGCGAAGGTGCTGCAGGAGATGGGGGCGCAACTGCGCGGAGAACTGCGAGGCCGATGGCAAGGGCCACGAACGCGGGCCTCCTTGGCCGCACGTATTCAGATCATTCATGAAGTGGGCTTGCACGGAGGGCGCGGGCACTGCCTCTCAGGAGGCCAAGAGTGTGTTCCAGGACTTCTGGAAGAAGGTGATTGTCTTTCCGGCGGCGCTGGGCATCGTGGCCGTCCATTGCAGGCACTTCAGGATCAAAGCATGCTGGTTCGACAAGAAGACCAGCAAGCCCGACCGCCTCAAGCTGCAGATCATGTTGGAAGTTCAGCAGCAGGCCAACAAGTGGGACGAGTGTCAGATCGCGTTCGTGGAGGCCGCGCAGAGGACTGTGGAGGCGGCGGGCGACGCCCAGGGGGCCAGCATGGTGTGCATTGCCTGCCAGGGTCCCCGCAGCGCGGCGGGCTGGAGAGGGAGGCGGCGAAGCTCCTCGGGAAACTCGGCCTCAAGGACAAATCCGCGGAGGGGGATCCCAGGGACGAGGGGGATCTTTGAGCACTGGAGGCTGTAGGGCTCGCCTGATTGTAATCAACGGCTCTCACAGTGCCGCCGAGCTTTTCCTCCAGGTCCACCTACAGGATGATCCCCATTTCGCCCTCCAGGCTCGTGCCCCCGCTCCAATCCTCACGTATGCCTCAAGGGCCCTGGAGGTCGGGGTTTTCTGCCGTACAGCCCCCATTCAGGCCGCCATCAGCGCGGGGATTTTTCGGGCGCTTTCCGAGGCCCCTCGTCAGCTGCGTCTGGCCGAGAGGTCTCTGGGGGAGGGCCGTGTCGCGGGGTCCTCGCGACCCTCGGAGGTCTGGACGTGCCTTCGATTCTGCACAGCGTGGGAGTGCATAGGCGAGCCCCCGAGGTGTCCCCAAACCAGGGGCCACTTCTTTTGCCAGTGGTATTCCTCTGCAGAGCTCCCAAAAGACCATCGAGCCCCCCAAGCGGTTCTCGAATGCCCGATCAGTTTTTTGTCTTCCTGAGGCCTGCAGGGTGGTGTACTCTCGGATTCATCGCACCATCGGATCATTGGCGCTGCTCTGCTCTGCTCTGCTCTGCTCCTCCTCCTCCTGCTTGTCCTCCTCCTCCTCCTCCTCCTCTTCCTCCTCCTCCTCGTTCTCCTCCTCTTCCCCCTCCCCCTTCTCCTCCCCCTGCTCCTCCTCCTCCTTCTCCTCCTCCTCCTCCTGCCTCCTCCTTCCGTTCTTCTCCTCCTCCTCCTCCTCCTCCTCCTCCTCCTCCTCCTCTTCGTTCTCCTCCTCGTCCTCCTCCTTGTCCTCTTCCTCCTCCTCCTCCTCCTCCTCCTCCTCCTCCTCCTCCTGCCTCGCCGGGCCCCTGCCGCGGGCCTGCCCGCCGCCGAGGCGTGGCAGACTATGGCGGACGAGTGGAAGGAGACGTGGGCGAAACGCGTGGCGGACCTGCAGGAGGCGAACAACTACAACGCGACCGAGGCTCGAGTAAGCAATAGCTTCGTGAGCATGCAGCTTCGGAGGTCGCGCGGATTTCTTGGATCTGCGCCTGATGCCCCAGGCGGCGCCTCCAGTGCCGCCCCTGGCGCGCTCCGCGCGCCAGGGAGGGGGGCCCAGCGTAGGTCCAACAAGTCCGCGTGGAACTCCGACAGCTTATCTTTATGCCGCTCTTTGTTCTCCTAGAGGTGGCCGAGGAGCGGCGCAAGAGGAGGATGGAGCAGAGGAAATTGAAGAAGGCGACCCACAAGAAGCACGTTCGCTATCTGCCGCCGGACGAGGCCGCGAAGGTGAAGGCCCGCGAGGAGCAGTGGGAGGCCAGCGTGGCGAAGCAGAAGGCCGAGGACATGGAGAAGGCGGAGTCTCGCAAGGAGGCGTTCCGGCGCCAGGTCGAGGAGGCCCAGAAGATCATCGAGAACAAGAGGAAGGAGAAGCAGCAGCGCGCGGCGGAGGCCGACGAGGCCGCCGACGACGAGCTGTCTGCGGCGTAG